TAAGTGCTTGTATACAACAGTACAGAGCCCTAAGTGCTTGTATACAACAGCACAGAGCCCTAAGTGCTTGTATACAACAGTACAGAGCCCTAAGTGCTTGTATACAACAGCACAGAGCCCTAAGTGCTTGTATACAACAGTACAGAGCCCTAAGTGCTTGTGTACAACAGTACAGAGCCCTAAGTGCTTGTATACAACAGTACAGAGTCCTAAGTGCTTGTATACAACAGTACAGAGCCCTAAGTGCTTGTATACAACAGTACAGAGCCCTAAGTGCTTGTATACAACAGCACAGAGCCCTAAGTGCTTGTATACAACAGTACAGAGCCCTAAGTGCTTGTATACAACAGCACAGAGCCCTAAGTGCTTGTATACAACAGTACAGAGCCCTAAGTGCTTGTATACAACAGCACAGTGCCCTAAGTGCTTATATACAAGTGCCCTGAGTGCTTGAATACAACAGCACAGGCAGGGCACACAGCACCACCCTGCCTCACACAGCACCACCCTGCCTCACACAGCACCACCCTGCCTCACACAACACCCACTACTCGCTGAGTCACCCTGCCCTGCCTGCCTCACCATCCTGCCTCAGGTACTTGAGAGTCATGTGTGAGGCTGACCAAGTCATGTATATGGAGGCGGGCGAGGGACGTCTCCGACCCTCACCAGCACGCAGGTCCTTGCTGCATTGTTAACACCTCCTCACCTGGGCGTCCCCCCCCCCCCCCCCACCTGTGTGTTGACTCACACACACGCCTCCACCTCCTCTCATTACCCTGTCTCATTACCCTTCCTCGCTACTCTGCCTCATTACCGCTGCATCACTGCCCTGCCTCATTATCCCTGCCTCGTTACCCTGCCTCATTACCCCTGTCTCACTACCCTGCCTCACTATCGTGCCTCACTTCTGTGTGGCTGCTTAGAGCTCAAACACGTAACGTCCAGCCTCTGAATGTCTGGAGGTCAGTAAAGAACATGAAGAAGAGGCCTGAGGTGAGCTGTGTCACCAGAGAACGCTCACACGCGATACACTCACGTGCACATAATAATGTGCGTGCGATACACTCACGTGCACATAATAATGTGCGTGCGATACACTCACGTGCACATAATAATGTGCGTGCGATACACTCACGTGCACATAATAATGTGCGTGCGATATACTCACGTGCACATAATCGCTCACACGCGCTTCTCTCACGTGCGCACAATAATAATTTACATGAGAAAATCAGAAGGAACCTTGAGGAGCACTTGGACCTATGTGAAGGGTTATATCTTAAAGTTATCTTGAGATGATTTCGGGGCTTTTTAGTGTCCCCGCGGCCCGGTCCTTGACCAGGCCTCCACCCCCAAGAAGCAGCCCGTGACAGCTGACTAACACCCAGGTACCTATTTTACTGCTAGGTAACAGGGGCATAGGGTGAAAGAAACTGCCCATTGTTTCTCGCCGGCGCCTGGGATCGAACCCAGGACCACATGATCACAAGTCCAGTGTGCTGTCCGCTCGGCCGACCGTGCTCCCAGGCACGCTCTACACCACCACATGACTCAAAACATTCCAACCCGAGATTGAACTTAATACTCTACGGTTCCTGAGGGTTGAAACCAAGATGTCCCACAATGTCCCTATGCACTCTGGCTTGTAGTTTAGCAAGTCTACCCTCTGCACTTCTCTTCACATACACAAAGAAATCACATTAACGTGACGTATCACGTATGGCGTAGCACAGGTTCGAATCTTCTTCATGGCTCTTACTGATTTTCTCATTCATAAGTCACATTAATGTGATTCCTTTGTGTATGTGAATAACTTACATGTATCATGCTCTAATAGTAACTCTGCTTGAACATACGCACATTTTCATAATAATAATATAATAGGGTATTTAAACCTTTACAACACCTTACTAATTATCCACAGGTTTGGCTACCCTGAAATATGAGCCATGCAGACAAGCATCACACACGGGTGGCAGGCGCGCGCACGCACGCACACACACAGTGCGTGTGGAGTGGAGGCAGACTCCATACAGTTTCAAATGCAGATATGATAGAGCCCAGTAGGCTCAGGAATCTATACACCAGTTGAGAGGCGGGACCAAAGTGCCAAAGCTCAACCCCAGCAAGCACAACTGTGTGAGTACACACACTCAAAAAAAAACAGTTCAATAGTTAGACATTGCTCTAAACATAAACCTTTACTTTTTCGAATTATATGTTGCAACCCATCCTCCAAATTGACCAATACTAAGTACATTTCCCTACTGCCTTATCTAGTACATAATTGCACCTCTGGCGCTGCTATACTTACCATCCTACTTATTTTCTTTTTTCTACTAAGACATTCAGAATTTCAGGATTAAGATTTTAAGATAATTTACTATAAACAAGTTTTAAACATTAGGAATTTCCTTTTTAGTTTTATTAAACGCTAGAGATTTTATACAAAATTTTAAAATAACCTGAGTTACTTTACAATTTATTGATATATTTTAGTTTTGTTTTATTAGTTTTATAAAACTGTAATATCAATATAGCTATAGGTTAAGTACTAATTATAATTAAGAAGCAATAAAATGCTTATCTTCAAACACTAAGAAGGTTAGGTTAGGTTGTGGTTTTCTATTCAGTTTTTCAGGTAAACACACATATATACACAATTATTTAACAGTACGCTTTAATACTAAGTGAAAATAAGTACAATTCCTGACTGCTATGAAGAGTACATAATTGCATTTACTTGTATTGTTACATTTACCTCCACATTTTTTGGAGGACGAGCTGCTACGGACACGTATTCAATACATTCATATAATAGTAACATAAACGTATGATTTGCCACATATATCAGTGCAAAGGATTTTGCACTGATAGTATATGCCTAGCCTAACTACCAGTGCAAAAATATACGTTTTAATAACCCTACATACATCATTTATTAATAAAGTTAGGACGTATAGTATATTATAATTATGTGCATACACTAGGTTATAACATAATACTACGACACTTTGCTTGTAATACTACGACCAGTGACGTATTTAGGGTATGGGAAGTATAGCCCGGGCTCCGGACCCCACTCACCACTTAGTCACTATCCTCGGATAGTGAAACAAATATTGTCTTCAGATGTATGATCTGCTTTTGGTTGCATTATTATTTTAATGTAGTTAAAGGATTTATTTCCTTTAACTACATATAATAATAATATTATTAATGTGTTACGGCGGCGCCGCTGATTATAACGATATAAAGAAGTGTGAACATTTGCGGGACTCGTCCAGCCGTGATGTTGGTGGACAGCAGCTTTATAAAGACATTTTCTACTGGTTAACGTTACTGTCAAGTCGGGCCAGCGTGATAATATCGAGGCCTGAGAAGTTTATCGAAAGTATTGTTCAGCGTGGAGATGAGAGCGTCTTCCCTAATCTTGGCACTGTCATTCACATAATGCTAACCATCGCCAGCTGTGAAGGATCATTCAACAAGTTAAAACTAATACTTTCGTATTTGAGAGCCTCTCCCTGGTCCAGGCAGACTGTGATCTGGCTCTGATAAGGGTATGAAGAGAAGAAACTGAAAAAGCTGATTTTGACCACATCATAGACCAATTTGCATCAGTGAAAGCAAGGTAAGGGCAGTTACAGTTTTCATGTAGTATCATAATTTGTCAATTAAAAGATTAACGAACTTGTAATTTTGAGCAGTTTTTATGGTAAAGTTAACTGAGAGATGGTCTCAGATGTTTGGACATGGGAGTAATTTCAGTGCTTGCCATTGGTGCTATTTTCCCTAGATGCGCCACTGACTACACCTGTTTTTCACAACATGGCACTCTGCTTGTCATACTATGGCACTCTGCTTGTTATACTACATCATTCTGCTTTCATACTAAGGCACTTTGCTTGTTATACAAAGTGTCACAAGTGTTATATGTAGTGTCACAAGTAGACATCATTCTGCTTGTGACACTACAGCACTCTGCTAAAGTATGACACTGTTTGTTGTAGAGACACTACAGCACTCTGCTAAAGTATGACACTGTTTGTTGTAGAGACACTACAACACTGCTAAAGTATGACACTGTTTGCTGTAGACCAACTATACTTGTCACATTGTCACTCTGCTTGCTGTAGTACGCCACTCTGCTTATCACACAACAGCACACAGCTTATACTACGGAACTCTGCTTTAACACTGCAACAGTCTGCATGTCATACTACGACATCCTGCTTGTTATATTATAGCACTCAACTTATCATACTAGAGCACTGCTCGTTATACTTAGCTTGTCATACTTCCATACTGTACTTGTTATACTACAGCTCTCTGCTTGTTATGCAATTGAATTACGAATTACGAGGAAAGCCTGGGACATGCCCCTCACCACACTAGAGAAAACATGGGAAATGTTAATGACATAAAATCCTAAAGGAGAGTTAACAAAATCGACAAAAAACAATGTTGAAATTTAAGAAAAACAGCAGAACGATGAGTCACTTAAATAAATTAGGGAGAGAAATAAATATTAGAGATGCAAGAAATTCCTCTAATGTAAAAGTTGTCAATAAGTGGAATGGTTAGATGAGGAAGTGGTTGAGGCATTGAGCTATTATTTGTTATAAGAGACGGACTCATGAGCTGACGCTCGACCCTGTAAGCACTTCTAAGTATCTCCGGGTGATTATGTACACACTCATAGGAGCACATATGTACAAGGCATAACAAACATGCATCTCTTGCATGCCCTCCAGGAACACACATTCGTTATTATACACTTTTAAGGCTTGCTATTGGTCGGACAAGATATGACATCATTTACATACTCAGCTGTTGCAATATGGAGGTATTTTGCTGTTTTTGCTGATAATTAAAATAAATATGTTAGTTATAACGAGTATATCATTTAAAAAAAACTGAAATTTATCTCGAACTTGTTTAATTTAGTTTGTAATCAAACGGTTCCAGTGCCACTTAATTAGTTCTTCGTGTGGCGACACCTGGCACTGACAGCAGCATATAAAACCTGGAACGCGCAAGTTAGAGGTCCAGTTCTCTTACGGTCGACGGCAGTAAAGATATCCATCAACATGAAGTCGTTCCTGTCCCTCTCTGTGCTGCTCCTTGGCGTCGCCGTCAACGCTGCCCCGGGTAAGTTGTCATCACATTTGTTTAGGAACAGCGTGAAGTACATCCACTTGCCTCACATACCATACTTTTTTACTCTTAAGTGTTGGGAACCACTTGTGTACCCATGAGTAGTAGGAATCAGCTAAATACTCTAAGGTGGTGGGAACCAGTTGTGCACTCTTAGATGGTGTGAAGATGCTCTTAGATGGGGGGAAAGCAGATGGTATTTGGCGGGGGCAATCTTAAACTGGATAAGGGCATGGTTATATAAAAAATGTTGGTATAATGGAGTTAGGTCGGACTGGTAAACCAGTGTGATTACAGTGCTCATAGGCTCTGTGCTGGGACCTCTCTTGTTTACCATACATATGAACTATTTAGATTCAGGACTGAGTATACACACAAGAGGTGAGGTGTTCCGCATCTCGGTGTATATACTATGAAAGTTTACAGTTGTAGTTCACTACTAGTGTACTTGTTAGTTGATCACAAAGCTTTTGTGTTGGCCCTAATTGCCCTCCAGAGGTTGAAAGCTCATAAACCAAACGACAAAAAAAAACTTGCGACAACAATGTTTGTTGACATCATAGTTTTGACTTTATTCCACACAGCTGCCCAAGGATCCTTCGGACTCGGCACCACCACCACCACCACCAGCCCCACCACCACCAAGCCCACTGACTCTACCAACAGCACCACCACCACCACTCTCAGCGTCGGCAGCCACCCCGTCCCCGTGCGCCCCGTGGCGCCACTCGCCACCAGCAACATTAACAAACGCAGCCTAGATGACGATTCTGACTCTACTACCACCACCACCACAACCACAACCACTTCCGGTCCTTTTGTCCACAACTTCAAGGTGAGTTCTGGTAGTATCAAGAGTGTGTTTTGCTTGAGAGAGTTGGTATTCCTTCTCGTGATTGATATCCTTCAGCAAGATATTTAGCGTGATTAAGATGTACTGTATGTGTTAATGTTGTCAAATATTTAGTAATTTCATATTAGATGCAGTATGAATAAAGAAAAAAGGTTATGCAACTAAAATAAGATTGTAAAATGAAGTACTCGTTGGCTAGCAGGTGTGGCCCGGTGTCTGTCTGGTCCAGAGCCAGTATGGCTCAGGGTCTGTGTGGCCATGATCCAGGGTCTGTGTGGCCATGATCCAGGGTCTGTGTGGCCATGATCCAGGGTCTGTGTGGCCATGATCCAGGGTCTGTGTGGCCATGATCCAGGGTCTGTGTGGCCATGATCCAGGGTCTGGACACTAGGGTTTTAGGAGCACTAAACTTTCAGACGGCATCGGAGTGAGAGGTTACCGCATGGAATGTTGAATTATATGTTGCCATTTACATTTATATTTTTGTCAAAGACTCATTCAGAATCTTAAAGAGAGACGAGAGAGTAAGACAAAGTCTTCTAAAAGAAAGTGGAGAATGAATATTTGTGACAAAAATGGGAAGTATTATTATAATTTATTCACCCATTTGAAGAATGTGTTGATGTGTCAAAAACGTTTTGTGAAAGAGTATTAGAGAAGATGTGGAAAGACTGGAACAGTTGTGTATGTAAACAAATTTGTATGCAATATAGCAATTATACAAGAATATTTACAGCAATAATATAATCCTCGGTAACACGAGATAATGTCTACTTTTCATTATCTGCTGCAGACGTCTAGTTCATCCAGTGAGTCAAACGAAAATAGCACAGAAGTCCAAGACCACAAATTCGGCTCCTCCTCCTCCTCGACCTCTGGAAGCGGCTTCCACCCCCTGTCCGTTAGTATTGCTGCTCCATCACCTTTACTTCAGTGTCAATGTGGGCGTTGAAGCCTACCTCATTATAACATTAAGTGCTTATTTATATAAGTAATTAAGAGCTGACGGACATGTCAACACTTAACTCATTTACATTTAATATTACCCATCATCGGCTCTGTCTGTAATTATTTCCAGCCCTGGATGCATTAAGAGCTGCTTAAGAGTTAATATTGTCCCAATGGGTTGTTTACAGATCTATAAATACTACCAACCCTTAATTGTAAATTAAATTGTCGGACATTCTATAAACAAAATAGAAAACTATACATCGTTAACATTGGATAAAATTCTATTTTCTTAAGACAAATCAAATTCATAGTTAAAAAGTCACGAATTAGTGGGGAATATCTTACTGTATTACTAACTGGACAACTTTTGCTGCTTCTCAGAGCTCCATCTCACGCCCCGCCAGGGACACCTTCAACCCTAGTGTCACCACCCATGACACCACCACCACACCTAAGGTCACCACTCCTGAGGTAGGTCACCACTCCTCACGTAGGTCACCATTCATCAGGTAAGTCACCATTCATCAGCTAGGTCACCACGTCACTAATGGGTCAACTATTCAGGTAAGTAAGGATCCATCAATGACTGAGATATTGCTGTGGGTAATCTGATGTTTCCCAAAACATAAAATGGGATAATTATGCTAAGAATGATTATATGTATTCATTTGTTATAGCATGTGTCTGACTTTTAGCTGAAACTAATCTTTGAACTACATAAATACGTAAATATGTTTAAAATCGTCAATATATGTATACAAATAATTTTTCTATGAATTTTAACAGACCGACGATAAATCCGAAGAAGATACCAAGACACTCAGCTCCTCCAGGTTCACACCCACCAAGTTGAGCAGCACCTCCAGTTAAGGTGGTCCACCTCGACTGATCATGGGGCCTCTTCCAGCACCGCCCCTCTCGTGGCTCGCCTGCAACACAACCATCGCCAAGAATGCTTCCAAGAACTTAGGCTTTCTGTCAGGAGCAAGGAAATAACTCGCATCATACTAGATCAAATTATGTATGTGGCTGAATACTGTTCTAATGTCTTGGGTGGTGTTTCATCATCTACTTTCAGAATTTTAGACAGCATTCATGCCAAACGATTTGACGTCTGTCAGACCCATTGGCAGCCTTCAAACCCTGCCTAATGTGAACTGCCTTTTTTCTTTCGTTGTCTAATTTATTGATTGCCGTTCTCTGGAAATGGGTAGTGTTGCAAAGCCTTGACTGATCGATCCCCGTCGAAGTCACTTGGCCTCTGCATGTCATGCCTTCTGTGTGCGTGTGTAGAGCACACAGAGGCATGGTCGTCTTCGGATTCACGCAAAACGTCCTCCTTCCGTTCTCTCGACCTCCTCGTAATCTTCACTGACACAACTCTCTCTTCTCTTAACCCTGTAAGTCGTTCCATTGTTCTGTCTTATACCTTCACTGTAGGGGCCATGGCCTTGGGCCGTCCCGTAACTCCAGCACAACATAAGCCGAGCCTTAAACCTGGACCCGGCACTGGAATTTGCTTGTGCCACTGCCACTACATTCCCCGGATCATTAACTCTTTAGAGTGTGAAATGTTCACAACTCTGCCATCAACACAAACATCGTATTGATGGCCATTTTGGTCACACTCCACAGATTTAAGCAGTTGACTAAGTTGTCATGCTTTCGTTGATGCAAAATCTTCATCGTTACTGAGTTAATTGTGGACACTGTGGTTAGTCATGTGTCATGTTACAGAACGAATATGATGCATGATTTCCATACTTGGAGTTATGGCTGTGGACAGTTAACGGCCCAATTGCTGTTAGCTAAATATTTAACATTTAACTTAACCTTATGCTTTGTTGCGTGTAAATATATCATGCATGTTTGTGGTATTCAATAAAGCTTGCATATCACTTAAATATTTTATTTTCCTAAACATGTTGTATTAACGTTATAAGAATGTTAAAAAATTATGATCAAATAAAGTATATAAACAGATAAATTTGTTAAATATATCATCCTGTAAACAAGCCATGAAAGGAAGCCGCTGGCGTCCTGGTAAACATATGTTTCAGCGGGAGTTAGGTAATGGAAGGTGAGAATTAGGCTGAGGAACAGACACCACAGTGATGTATATAATTATATACACTATATATATATATATATATATATATATATATATATATATATATATATATATATATATATATATATATATATATATATTTGCTACTCGAAATGAGTAGCAAAACAAAACTGGGGAAACTAAAGCAAATAATAAAGACGTCAACATATATATATATATATATATATATATATATATATATATATATATATATATATATATATATATATTTATATTTATATATATAAATTTATATATATATATAAATTTTGTTTTTATATAAGTTTCCTCTAAGTTTGTAGTTATTATTATAATTTTGAATTAGTTTTGAGTATCCACGCAACCAGTATTAAGTATTATTTCGTTTAAGCACCTCGTGCAAGCTGAACCAACTGGTTTGTTTGGTAACTTGTCAATTTATCTTTTATATTATAATACCAGAGTGTATGCATACACCTTAGGCTTTTACCTGACTCCCATAGTTCGTTTAGCTTGGCAAATGATAATCTTGTGAAGCCAGTTACACAATTGTTAATGTTGTATATATACTTGTGACACAAAAGATTATTGATGTGTGTATTTGTGTGGGTGATTAAATATATATTTGTATGTATATATGTATACGTATATATATATGTACATGTATGTATGAGTGTGTACATGTATATATACCATTAATAATTGTGTAACTAGCGTCAAAAGATTGTTATTAGCTTAGCTAAACGAACTAGAGGGTTCAGTTCCTGAACCGATAATGTGCCTCTGTAACCCTTTACACCACCGCCCACGGGAGGGGTATGGGGTGCATAATCAAGAAAGAAATTTAATTATATATATATACATGTCAGCCTGTGTGTATATATATATATATATATATATATATATATATATATATATATATATATATATATATATATATATATATATACTCCCTTCCTATTTTTATATATATATATATATATATATATATATATATATATATATATATATATATATACATATACTATACTCCCTTCCTATTTATATATATATATATATATATATATATATATATATATATATATATATATATTATATATATACAATCTTTTACACAAATATACATAGCAATAATCTTTTTGAATCACAAGTGAGTTTCCAGACTGGCTCTTCCTATGGACTTCCTGCTAGTTAGCAAAAATGTTTCCCGAATCCGCTGGACCATCTCTTCCGGTACAGGTGGTCGTTCAGATCCTTTCGCTCTGTACAGACTGCCTTCCTCCTTAAACTTTTATGCCATGTCGAAATCTGCACTGCAGTTGGTGCATTTTTTAGCGAAATTCTCTCAGAAACTGTACGCTGCACACTGTACTGTTGTTCGACTATGTTCGACCATACTCTAATACACAAAACGCCCTTTCTCTTCCAGTGACTGACATTTCTATATCTGAAAAGACAAAGACATTAAACATGGACTTTTGAGTTATTTCTGCATGTGCTGTTAAAATTTGAGGTCATTTGAACGAGAATTGATCAAGTTATTAGATTACGAAATTATATAAGATTTTCTGAACCACCCTTATAATTACAATACCCCTATTTGAATAGTTTCGTGGTAAACGCACCCTCTCGTCTGCCTACATCACTCACATTACTTCAGAGGAATTGATACTGGTCCAGGACGGAACGAAACGTCGTAAAATTTTATATTTTCAAATGTGAGTTGGGTGTCCATATTATTTTATGAAGTGATGGGAGGGGGAACACTTATAATTATCTTTATTCTCCGTATGAACACTATTTCCAGGACGCTAATAAGAGTGCACATTGTTGTCAAAAGGTAATCATTTCCACGGGTTATTCTCTATAAGGTTCACTTGCAGTTTATCAATGCTTATTAGAAGCTGGAATGGATTTCAACGCCCCTCGTGAAATCACCTGGTTCGCTTGTTCCACACGCATTGGCACCATCCGCATATCTTGCAGTAGTTGGCTTCATACCGATTAACTCTACGCCAGTTGAAGTACTGCAATAGCCTCACAATGACTTTCTCAACCCCAGGTGTCCTCCACCGACAACTAAATGTAAATGTATATTTTCTATGGTCAATATTTTTTATATTGACTATGGGCTAATGGTCAATATTATTTTCAGCTCAGCCTCAGGCAGCCGGTCGGCCGAGCGGACAGCACGCGGGACTTGTGATCCTGTGGTCCTGGGTTTCCCTATGCCCCTGTTACCTAGCAGTAAAATAGGTACCTGGGTGTTAGTCAACTGTCACGGGCTGCTTCCTGGGGGTGGAGGCCTGGTCGAGGACTGGGCCGCGAGGACACTAAAAGCCCCGAAATCATCTCAAGATAACCTCAAGATCTCAAGGTAAGCCTTCCGTTTTACCAGTCATTGATCGCTGTAACTGTGGAAGGCTGCCATTTTCTCATTAGAATTCCATTATCCACTGCCTTTCTACCCTTGGCTTTCTTCAAGGAGTGCTCTAACTTTTGGCTTTGCATAGCACACTTCCCGTCTCCACCAATTTGTAGATTACCGTGTAGAGTAATTTCGTACGTTGTCTCACATTTCAAATCTCGCCGCTGGATTAGCGACTGATATCTCTGTCTACCATTGTGTCTTCCTGTGCTCAGGTGACGACACATGCGACACGTCCAACCCTTCCTCCGTATAGACAGTAAGTTTAAAGACTAAATGTAATAAGTACATTCCTGACTATTGGCATAGGACATATATACACTCAATCTCCAGCATCGCACCAAAATATTGTGAATATTAGAGTTTACCTGAAAAGCTGTATAAAAAACCACGACCTAACTTATTACAATTAGTATTTAACCTTTAGCTATATTGATATTAGAACTTTATAATACTAATATAACAAAGCTAAAGTCTTCCAATAAATTATAAAGTAACTCAGGATATTTTCAAATTTTGTATAAAATCGTTATTGTTTAATAAAACTAAAAAAGAAATTTTTTATATTTAAAACTTGTGTATATAGCATTGAACACGAAAACTTAAACTTAAAATTTTAAGTGTATTAACAAAATTAGGAGAATATATGGGGAGGTAAATGTAAGGGCACAATTAAGTGTATTTATGTACTATGCAGACAGTCAGAAATGTACTGTCTATTCGGAGGAAGGATTGGGTGGGTCCACGACCATTTGTGTGTCCATCTGAGTATCGTCCAGCACTTCATCCAAGGTCTCGGGGTTGCGACACCTGCCGGGTACCTCACTCTCAAATTCATGTTTATATATCACCATTCTCCATGCCTGGAATTACAACCATAATGTGTCCACCTACGAAGAACGTCGCTTTTCGCTCGTATGCGTTACATAAGGCCAACAATTGTTGTACTAGGAAATGGAAGCGGCTCGCGAAAATGACGTTCTGTCCCGTTTTTTGTTTTGGGTCCAAGATCCCCTCGTGTTCCTGGACCAAGAACACGCTAGGACTGGTCCAGTGTTGTAAGGCCAGGACTAGTCCAGTGTTGTAAGACCAGGACTAGTCCAGTGTTGTAAGGCCAGGACTAGTCCAGTGTTGTAAGGCCAGGACTAGTCCAGTGTTGTAAGGCCAGGACTAGTCCAGTGTTGTAAGGGCAGGACTAGTCCAGTGTTGTAAGGGCAGGACTAGTCCAGTGTTGTAAGGCCAGGACTAGTCCAGTGTTGTAAGGCCAGGACTAGTCCAGTGTTGTAAGGGCAGGACTAGTCCAGTGTTGTAAGGCCAGGACTAGTCCAGTGTTGTAAGGCCAGGACTAGTCCAGTGTTGTAAGGCCAGGACTAGTCCAGTGTTGTAAGGGCAGGACTAGTCCAGTGTTGTAAGGCCAGGACTAGTCCAGTGTTGTAAGGCCAGGACTAGTCCAGTGTTGTAAGGCCAGGACTAGTCCAGTGTTGTAAGGCCAGGACTAGTCCAGTGTTGTAAGGCCAGGACTAGTCCAGTGTTGTAAGGCCAGGACTAGTCCAGTGTTGAATGTGGATACCATTGCCTGGCAGTCATTGACTGTTATGGACAAACTTACTACAATGTCGTAGTGCTTCAGTGAAGGTGAAGGAGAAGACCCTGTATGGGTGTATGTGTATTAAAAACCACATTTTCGGATTTCACCTACATCCTTTCTCAAGGTGGTGTATACAATGTAGGACAACATTGTATACTGTATGCATTGTATACAATTTTGACGATGGATGTTGATGGAAATAATTTTTAGGATGTTGCATGTTTTTTTAGGATGTTGCATGTTAAGTTGCCTTAAGTATGTGTTTGTGTTGGCCAGTAATTGTCTGAAGAGACTATAAATTCAGCATAAATTTGCCTTGCAGTTAATTGTGAAATGATTTACAAGCATAGTGAGTCACGGTTAAATTGTCAAGTAATTTGTATTTGCACATTGATTATTATTTGGAGTATGGTGCAACCAATAGACCTAGTCATTATGTTTTCGAAATAATAACATATGCAGATGAGACCCCCCCAGGGGGGGGGGGATCGAGGAAGTAAGTTTTTTTCAGTTCAGACGATCAGCTGATGAGATGTTGCCATGTCTAAAACCCCCTTAGCTAGTGTCTGTAATTAAGGAAGCCAGCTTGTGGATCATATGCATAACTTTTCAAATAGAGATTGATAGAAATAGTGTAAAAGATTGACTGTGCGTTCTTCACTTGCCAGTGATAACGTTTACATGCTGTAGTTAGTAGAAGAAAAATTGTTACCCGTCGATGTATCAACACAGTGTCTAGGAACTGGAAGTTGAGCCCTGGAACTCTTTAACTCACCAGACAGTTTGTGGACATTACTGAAGCAGGACCTGCTGGACGAGGGCTCCTAATTTCTGCTAGGTGCTCATGGACTTACCTTGTTATGCCGTGTTTAATACTGTATGTCAGTGATACATATTTATACTTAATAGGTTCTGATATCTTAAGTGAATAACCCTTCGTTATAGGATAATTTAGTAGACTATTAAGTAGAGATTTCTTATTTATAAGATATTGGTTGGCAGTGAATATTTACCTGTGATTGTCTTAATTAAAGTTAGTGCTGGATATTAACTTTAATGGTGTCTATTGCCACCTTCCTCCTGACCGGAACATTATTAATTTAATGGCACTTTAATCATTGTTATTGCTCATTTAATGATTGTTTCATTGCAAGTGTATCTCACTGAGTACACTTGCTGTTAACTTTTAACAATTGTTTCCATTCATCCTTAACCGTTCGACTAATAATCACAGATGATGTAAGTTAATTTTCCTCAGCGTACTTTGATATGGCAATAGACGTTATTGTTATAATCTATAACAGCCTATCGTTATCCAGTCACCCTAGATATTGGCCTGGCAACACCAGGTCAATATCTAGGGTGACTGGATAACAACAGGCTGTTTCATCACAGTGAAGGGTCCAGTTATTGTCCTCGGCCATCACCTGATTTGTCGGCCACTAGTTCTTCTATTACGGGATATTAGGATGAGTTCCTTCTGACTGTCAGTCCTGTTCTACACTTGAGGGATACCTGGAGGCGTTACTTCACAGAGTGTCAGCCTTCTCTGCCTCCAGGATATGTTGAACAACTGGGGTGTCAGCCTTCTCTGCTTGCAGGACCTGGTGAACAACTGGGGTGTCAGCCTTCTCTGCTTGCAGGATATGGTGAACAACTGGGGTGTCAGCCTTCTCTGCTTGTAGGATATGGTGAACAACTGGGGTGTCAGCCTTCTCTGCTTGCAGGATATGGTGAACAACTGGGGTGTCAGCCTTCTCTGCTTGTAGGATATGGTGAACAACTGGGGTGTCAGCCTTCTCTGCTTGTAGGATATGGTGAACAACTGGGGTGTCAGCCTTCTCTGCTTGTAGGATATGGTGAACAACTGGGGTGTCAGCCTTCTCTGCTTGTAGGATATGGTGAACAACTGGGGTGTCAGCCTTCTCTGCTTGTAGGATATGGTGAACAACTGGGGTGTCAGCCTTCTCTGCTTGTAGGATATGGTGAACAACTGGGGTGTCAGCCTTCTCTGCTTGCAGGACCTGGTGAACAACTGGGGTGTCAGCCTTCTCTGTCTCCAGGATATGGTGAACAACTGGGGTGTCAGCCTTCTCTGCTTGTAGGATATGGTGAACAACTGGGGTGTCAGCCTTCTCTGCTTGTAGGATATGGTGAACAACTGGGGTGTCAGCCTTCTCTGCTTGTAGAATATGGTGAACAACTGGGGTGTCAGCCTTCTCTGCTTGTAGGATATGGTGAACAACTGGGGTGTCAGCCTTCTCTGCTTGTAGGATACGGTGAACAACTGGGGTGTCAGCCTTCTCTGCTTGTAGGATATGGTGAACAACTGGGGTGTCAGCCTTCTCTGCTTGTAGGATATGGTGAACAACTGGGGTGTCAGCCTTCTCTGCTTGTAGGATATGGTGAACAACTGGGGTGTCAGCCTTCTCTGCTTGCAGGATATGATGGACAGTTCCTAGTGTGTCAGCCTTTTTTTCAAATTGTTGAATACGTCCTCGAGTTCCAGCCTCAGGCAATTTCGTCAGCTTCTCACTTTTTTCTGGATGCTTATTACTCGTGTTGTTCTCCACCTGTTGATAGAAACAAAGTTACGAGAGTAATTTACCTCCAAACTTGTTAGCAGTGTGTGAATGAAGTCACTCAACTGGAAGACATGGTGGATAGAACCCCCAGTTTGAACCCGGGGAGATGGCTTTTGGAGAGTTTGAGTGAATTCTGTCTTGTAGAAGACCAACCGAGAAGTAAACCGATTCAAATAAAAGTAGGACAAATTCCATATAACAGGTTACGTGAATATAAGGATTAGGGTCCATCTTTCTAGGGCAGAAATGGCCACCTTAGCAAAACAAGTTAAGGGTGCTGTTCCTATGACGCTTCAGGAAATAAACTTGCAAAACAAATTTGGAAGAGTGCATTCAGAGAGGGAGGGATGATAACAGGTCTGGGTGTGGTCAGCACCTGGTGGTCAGCACCTGGTGTGTAGCACCTGGTGTGTAGCACCTGGTGTGCTGCACCTAGTGCTACACACCAGGTGCAGCACCAGGACGACTCTGATGACATAACACCTAGCTGTTAACTTGACCTCTCCCTTCAACCCGCCACCTACCAGCAAGCCGATGGCCAGCTGTCATTCACAACAAAGACACTTGCCTTGTGTTGAGAGCCCCTGCTGGGTCTGCCTGTGTTGAGATCCACGCCCTCTTGGACGTGTAGGTGTCCCAAGTCCTCTTGGACGTGAAGGTGGTCCTCTGTGGGCGGGAATTATAATAATATAAACGAGCAAACTCTCCAAAGGATATGAAACAGATTCTTAAATGTTACTAAAAGATATATGTTGCGAGAATATGAAACATATATATAATGAATTATTAACAGTAAAATGGGACACTAATTCTAGAGATATGGATTATATATTATTATTGACAAGGATTATGTAATAATAATTTATGCAATACTTATAGTCTACATAACATTATGCAGTACTCTGAGCACTGTTATGACCCCACATACACCAAGTATGACTGGTGTATGATGTGATCATACTTTAGTACAATATATGGCAGTGTAGCCTAGTATAATATATCTTGAATGTACGATTGTGTGTATATAATATCGAATCCTATATATTACTGTATAACATTCTTTATATATTACTATATATTATGAATACATTTATATGCCTGATGTATTACTGGCGTATGTACTATGATATCCATTTCATTGTCATTAAGCGTAATAGCCTATTGTCACTATGCACTGTACTTGGTACTTGATATACTTGTATTGTGAGAATATATATAAATAGGCAGGTTTTGTGATTAGGTTGTGTATATTATACTTTTCTTATATTACTGTATAATTATGTATTAGAGCCACTCACCCTAGCAACACAGGGGCCACCACTCACCCTAGCAGCACAGGGGGCCACCACTCACCCTAGCAGCACAGGGGCCACCACTCACCCTAGCAGCACAGGGGGCCACCACTCACCCTAGCAGCACAGGGGCCACCACTCACCCTAGCAACACAGGGGCCACCACTCACCCTAGCAGCACAGGGGGCCACCACTCACCCTAGCAGCACAGGGGCCACCACTCACCCTAGCAGCACAGGGGGCCACCACTCACCCAAGCAGCACAGGGGCCACCACTCACCCTAGCAGCACAGGGGCCACCACTACCGTAGCAGCAGCACAGGGGCCACCACTCACCCTAGCAGCACAGGGGCCACCACTCACCCTAGCAGCACAGGGGCCACCACTCACCCTAGCAGCACAGGGGCCACCACTCACCCTAGCAGCACAGGGGCCACCACTCACCCTAGCAGCACAGGGGCCACCACTCACCCTAGCAGCACAGGGGGCCACCACTCACCCTAGCAGCACAGGGGCCACCACTCACCCTAGCAGCACAGGGGCCACCACTCACCCTAGCAGCACAGGGGCCACCACTCACCCTAGCAGCACAGGGGCCACCACTTACCCTAGCAGCACAGGGGCCACCACTCACCCTAGCAGCACAGGGGGCCACCACTCACCCTAGCAGCACAGGGGCCACCACTCACCCTAGCAGCACAGGGGCCACCACTCACCCTAGCAGCACAGGGGCCACCACTCACCCTAGCAGCACAGGGGCCACCACTCACTCTAGCAGCACAGGGGCCACCACTCACCCTAGCAGCACAGGGGCCACCACTCACCCTAGCAGCACAGGGGGCCACCACTCACCCTAGCAGCACCGGGGCCACCACTCACCCTAGCAGCACAGGGGCCACCACTCACCCTAGCAGCACAGGGGCCACCACTCACCCTAGCAGCACAGGGGCCACCACTCACCCTGGGGTTGATGAGAAGCGACACTGCTGGAGTCCTCCGAGTCGCCACTGTCGAGACGTGAAGGTCAACATTTATATATTGTACTCAACGCTCATTAATCTACATTATTGTATTTAATGATTTGATCCTCGCTTAATTTGTTATATTTGTTGATAAAATTCATATATAAGAATGATGAGAATGTTCATTATTATAAAATAACTTTATCGTTTTTTTATAATAATATATAAAATTTAATTTTTTTAAGAATTTTTACAGAACATCGTAATCACATGTTTAGTGTTGTGGGGGAACTGGACAGCAGCAGAATAAACACTTCTCTATACTTCTCTATACAGCAGCAGAATAGACAGTTCTCTATACTTCTCTATACAGCAGCAGAATAGACAGTTCTCTTTACTTCTCTATACAGCAGCAGAATAGACAGTTCTCTATACTTCTCTATACAGCAGCAGAATAGACACTTCTCTATACGTCTCTATACAGCAGCAGAATAGACAGTTCTCTATACTTCTCTATACAGCAGCAGAATAGACACTTCTCTATACTTCTCTATACAGCAGCAGAATAGACAGTTCTCTATACTTCTCTATACAGCAGCAGAATAGACAGTTCTCTATACTTCTCTATACAGCAGCAGAATAGACACTTCTCTATACAGCAGCAGAATAGACAGTTCTCTATACTTCTCTATACAGCAGCAGAATAGACAGTTCTCTATACTTCTCTATACAGCAGCAGAATAGACACTTCTCTATACAGCAGCAGAATAGACAGTTCTCTATACTTCTCTATACAGCAGCAGAATAGACACTTCTCTATACTTCTCTATACAGCAGCAGAATAGACAGTTCTCTATACTTCTCTATACAGCAGCAGAATAGACACTTCTCTATACTTCTCTATACAGCAGCAGAATAGACAGTTCTCTATACTTCTCTATACAGCAGCAGAATAGACACTTCTCTATACTTCTCTATACAGCAGCAGAATAGACAGTTCTCTATACTTCTCTATACAGCAGCAGAATAGACACTTCTCTATACTTCTCTATACAGCAGCAGAATAGACACTTCTCTATACTTCTCTATACAGCAGCAGAATAGACACTTCTCTATACTTCTCTATACAGCAGCAGAATAGACACTTCTCTATACACACAACAACACTAAGCAGAAAAAAATACTTCAGACATAGAAATAAACACACTGTACATTCTCACAAGTAAATCATATGTAAAACTTGACTTGCTTCAGTTCAATCTCCAGCACTTCCTGTGGATTCTATGGAATTCCAGGTTGTATAACATATACCATATCGTGGTCCAGGGGGGTAAGGTGTGCGCCTGGCAGCACCCAAATCGCTGGTTCGAATCCCTTTAATGCTCAAATTGATTTTCTCACGAATGTACATTATAATCATATATATTTTTCCTCTCGTTCATGAAGCTCTAACAAAGTTTGGTTATAGAGGTCTAGAGAGGGAGAGTAAAAGGTCCACGACTGAAGTATATAAGTGGATGAAAGGGTATAATCGAAGGTATTATTATTAATAGGAAGATAAATGCATCAACACAAAATATAACACAGAACAATGAAGTACAAGTTAGATAGGTTTAGATTGAGAAAAGTCTGGGCAAATAATGGTTTAGGTGTAGAGTTGCAGGTTTTTGGAACAAAGTACCAGGTCATATAATAGATGTAAGATCGCTGGATTGTTTCAAGAGTAGGTTACACATATATGAATGTCTGGTTATAATTAGGAGGCGCCTTACGTGAGCCAATAGGTCTTCTGAGGTTACCTCTATTCTTATGTTTTTATATTTTGTACTTGCAACTATCATAGTTAATGAAAATAATTATTTAATAAAGTATTTAAAATACGTGTTGATATTAGTGATTATAAAAATAATTATATTAAACAAAGATGGTGTGTGAGACACGAAGCTCACGACACCGTTATATACCTGGTTGATACCTGGTTGATGGGGTTCTGGGAGTTCTTCTACTCCCCAAGCCCGGCCCGAGGCCAGACTTGACTTGTGAGAGTTTGGTCCACCAGGCTGTTGCTTGGAGCGGCCCGCAGGCCCACATACCCACCACAGCCTGGTTGTTCTTGCATATCTTGCACATCATAAATTTGAAGCTTAAGCGATAAACATTATTCCTTGAGAGTTATAAAAATAAAACGATATTATCTCGGTAGCAACAAATTATTTAACGTTCATTAAAATATGTACCGTAGAGTATGTTGTAAACAATAGCACTTGTAAACAACACATTTTCATCTTCAAGTACACAAAAGATACATAGATCCATGCTGGAGGATTTTGTGGTAGTTTTATCTCGAGTGTTAGTTTTTGTCTATTGATAAACACCTCCAAAGGATACCTGATCATCCAGGCTGCGATTCATACTTCAGGCTGCGAGCAGCCGCGTCCAACAACTTGGTTAACCAGTCCAGTAACCCAGAGGCCTGGTCGGGGACCGGGCTGCGGGGACGGTGATCCCCGAAATCATCGCAAGGTAACCGCAAGGATGGATATGTTGATTTCGAAGGTACTGTACCCTGGCTGAGGCGAGAGCTGGGTTGAGCAGCTGTGACTGAGGCCTCGTCTTGCCTTGTGGGCTGCGTGACGCACATGTTCACACTCATCTCCGTCCTTTGAATTATGTTTTTAAGTTGACCAGACCACACACTAGAAGGTGAAAGGACGACGACGTTTCGGTCCGTCCTGGACCATTCTCAAGTCGATTGTGACGAGGAGGTAGAGACAGGCAATAAATAGGCACAAAAGAGATGAGGAATCTCTCTATGTTTTTAAGGGCCTACACCTTGCAACACTTAGGGACAATGAGCCGAGATTAAGAATTAGAAAGTGTAGAGAAAGTTAGACAAGCGAGGAAGGTTCTTACCCAGAGTTAGAGCCTGATATTGTGTCACTCTCATCTTCCTCATCGTCGTCATCGTCGTCGTCATCATCGTCGTCGTCGTCATCATCGTCGTCGTCGTCGTCATCATCGTCGTCATCATCGTCATCGTCATCTTCCTCATCATCGTCATCATCATCGTCATCTTCCTCATCATCGTCGTCTTCGTCGTCGTCGTCATCATTCTCCCTTTTCTGTTTTTTTTCTTGTTTTTCATCCTGCTTCACCTGTTCCTCCTGTTCCTTCTCTCCCTGACTTTTATTATTCTGGTCTTCCTCCACCTGTTCCTGACCCTTGTGTTCCTCCTCTTCCTCTTCTTGACCCTTGTGTTCCTCCTCTTCCTCTTCCTGACCCTTCATTTCTTCTTCTTGGCGTTTTTCCCTGTTTTGTTCATCTTTCTGATCTTGACTCTTTAGTTCCGCCATCTCCTTATCTTGACTCTTTAGTTCCGCCATCTCCTTATCTTGACTCTTTAGTTCCGCCATCTCCTTATCTTGACTCTTTAGTTCCGCCATCTCCTTATCTTGACTCTTTAGTTCCGCCATCTCCTTATCTTGACTCTTTAGTTCCGCCATCTCCTTATCTTGACCATTCAGTTGGTGGTGTTGCTGCCCCGTGTCCGTGTGGTGGTGTTCACCTCTACCTGTCAGCGTGGCCGTGTTATCCTGGTGGTTGTGGCGGGAGTCCGTGTTGGGTGTGAATGTGAGTGTTCTTAGTGTGGTGGCGGCGACCTTCTTCATCACCACCAGTAAGGGCTCCCTGGGAGCTGGCACCCACTTGTCGCCACCCTCCGACGCCACCAGCGGCTCTGAAGGCAGAGAAACATGTTAGTTTAAGTGGTCGTGTGCATCAAGTGGTCATCAATTACGGAGTATATAAAATAGCTTGATGCTTAAAATCAATAATTAACATTTTAAGTAAATATTCCTATTATTGCACCATTCCACAAAAGCATTAAAAGATGTGCTAAATTCTTTAAAATTATCAATATCAACATATTTAAGATTCTCATGTAATCAAAGAATGCTTGATTTACAATTTTACCATATGACTGTGATTGATGTTAATAGTGGAGATGGTGCCTACGACGGTCTCTTTAAATCCCAGAAATGGACCGTCGTAGCTCCAGCCATTTTAAACTTTTCCTCAGAGCCTGGAAACACCGGATTATTTCCAAACGTTTCTTACCAGATAGCGTTCACCCCAGATGTTATTTGTTATTGTTATTAACGACGACCGCCTCAGATACTGGACACGGACGTCGTTAGCACGACCCCTTTTTGAACTCGTTGTTTTGCCACCGAAAACACTGTCGTTGGCGACGCTCAAATGTATCCAGTAAAGGTACTCTCTGGGGTGAAGGGTAAAGGTAAACACCTCCAAAGGATACCTGATCAGCCAGACTGTGATTCATCCTTCAGGCTGCGAGCAGCCGCCTCCAACAACTTAGTTAACCAGTCCAGCGACCCAGACGGTCGTCGTTTCCGCTTCGGGCTGTTTTTAATGAGGAGGTCGGTAGTCTTTTTTTGTTTTGTTTTATAGTATATGATTAGGTCTATGTTTTGGTTAGGAGTTGTGCTTCTTACTCCTTTACGGATTATTTCTTTCATTATTCTTTCTTCTTTTTTATGTTCACTATGCTCACCATGGTTTTTTTATGTTCACTATGCTCACCATGGTTTTTTTATGTTCACTATGCATAGAGAACATAAAAAATAAAAACACCTGCAAGGGTGTTCTAGGCCGCGAGTGTTCTACTGGCCCGCGAGGGTGTTCTGACCCGCGAATGTGTTCTGGCATTCGAAGGTGTTATTCTGACACGCGACAGTGTTCTACTGGCCCGTATTGGTGTTCTATCCCGTGTGGGTGTTTATTTTTTAATATAATTTTTGGTTGGTTTTGATTGATTTTATAATTATTATTTATTGTATTATATTGATAATACAATATATATATATTATATTGATAATACAATATATATATATTATATTGATAATACAATATAATAATTATATATAATTATTCCCGAATTTGGGTATAAATTATTATATATAGTTCCTGGCGCAAGGTGGTGGAGCAGCCAGTCCTCCTAAGGTTTCCTTTCAACGTCAAGAAACTGTGGTACTAATGTGCACTTATCCTAACCTACCAGAGGACCCAAAACAGAGAAGGAGACAGTATGTTAATTTCGCAACCCACTACCATTTTCTATTATGACAATTTCTGGCTTTAGGTAAAGTATACGTCAAAATGCGACGCTTAATTAGGATGGCGGGTAGAGTGGAGGCGCCAGCAGGTGATAGTGCCATTGTGATAGTCATATGAAAGTTGAGTAATTTACTTGAGGATCAGGAAGGTTGTGAAAGTTGAACCATCGTCCTGTGGTGACGTCTGTTGATATGGCAGTATTATACTCTCACTAAACCCTCGTACTTAGCACGGTATACCTAGGTCATGGCGGTGTTATACTCGCACTAGTAGTATTAGTAGGCATCCATCAGCCTCAGGAGACTATGGAGTTGCACTCTAGTTGTCGGTCAGGAGTGGCCTCTCCAGGGCGCAAAGCCAGGGTAGGTTGATATGGGGTAGAAGCTGTTATCCAGGCAGCAGGTCCCCCCTCTCCACGGCGCCGCAAGTCTCCAATGGAGAGGCAAACGCCAATACGATTGGTTTCAGCGCCGTCACAGGAAGTGTCAGAACGATGTTGAAGGCAACAACGAACTGCCCCGGGGGCTCTAGCTCCAGGGGTTACCTCGAGATTGGTAAAAGAAGGCCCAGGGACTCCAAACCCGGAGACCGCCGTGGTCGGGGCCGGAGAAGAAGCACCACAAGGGCAAAAACGAACCCATCCTCCTGAAGCAGAGCCTGGGGGGCCGCACAACCCCCAGGAGGTGGACGTCCGAGTCCCGCACCTACGGGTTCCAGACAGAGATCGTCACAGCTCTCTTTCACCCGAGGCCGACTTCCTTCATGACCCAGCAGAAGGAAGTTTAATAATTGCTATTATAGTAATATAATATTAGTAATATTAATATTACTATTTCAATAATTAATTAATCAAACTCGCACTAAACCCTTGTACACAGCACGGATATACCCAGGTCATGGCAGTGTTTTTCTCGCACTAAATCCTCGTACAAAACATGATGACGGCCGCAGTGTTACTAGGGACAGCGTTGAGAGCTGGGTTTACTTACTAGGGGCGGCATTGACAGCTGCAATAATTAGCAGCGTTGATAATATGAAGAGCTTCATCTTGCAGCAGCAGCAGTAGACACACTATACCCAGACCAGGGTCTGTACACATATCTATACAGACCAGTAAATGCCAAGCCTCGCTAGACTAAACTACAAGCAACAACCTCTTTTGTTTCGGGTTTAAAGTTGAGGGGGGCGTTAAGAGGATAATCCCAGTCAGAAGTATATGAGCGCTCTAACACCTGGTAGATCTAACACCGCAAGGAGTGCATAATTAATGAGATAAACAGCTTCCAGCAGAGACCTGGCACAGCTTGGCCAGCCAATACGGGGCATCTGTGTGTGTGACGTAGATGTCTACTTTCTAGACAATGTAGAGTGTCATCGTACATTGTTCACCCCCAGGGAACCCTACAGGGTGTCCCAAGATAAGGCTGCCCTCTGAGTCACTACAGTACACTAACAGTACAATCAATCCATAAAGGTACAACCAGTGACTACTCTAAGCAACATGACGGTTATGTCGAGGGGGTAATTATTAGAGTGCCATTTACCGTTAATTACTAGGTTCAAGTACTTGCTTCTACTTCGTACTATAAGTAACAATTGTCAAATACTTTTACTTGCAATTTCATAACAGGTCGTTTTTCAACTTGAACTTAATGAAATTGACTTGAAGGATTGAAGTATATTTCAAATACGTCCACGAATCTATTTGATATATTTTATAAGTTATAACTTAAAGTAAAATGTTGTAACTCGTTCACAATGTTACGATGTATGATTCAGTTTCCTACCGGCACTTGAGGGGCACTCGAGGGTGGTGCAGGTTGTTGCTGGCACTTGAGGGTGATGCAGGTTGTTGCTGGCACTCGAGGGTGGTGCAGGTTGTTGTTGGCACTTGAGGGTGGTGCAGGTTGTTGCTGGCACTTGAGGGTGGTGCAGGTTGTTGCTGGCACTCAAGGGTGGTGCAGGTTGTTGCTGGCACTCAAGGGTGGTGCAGGTTGTTGCTGGCACTTGAGGGTGGTGCAGGTTGTTGCTGGCACTTGAGGGTGGTGCAGGTTGTTGCTGGCACTCGAGGGTGGTGCACGTTGTTGCTGGCACTTGAGGGTGGTGCAGGTTGTTGCTGGCACTTGAGGGTGGTGCAGGTTGTTGCTGGCACTTGAGGGTGGTGCAGGTTGTTGCTGGCACTTGAGGGTGGTGCAGGTTGTTGCTGGCACTTGAGGGTGGTGCAGGTTGTTGCTGGCACTCGAGGGTGGTGCAGGTTGTTGCTGGCACTTGAGGGTGGTGCAGGTTGTTGCTGGCACTTGAGGGTGGTGCAGGTTGTTGCTGGCACTCAAGGGTGGTGCAGGTTGTTGCTGGCACTCGAGGGTGGTGCAGGTTGTTGCTGGCACTCGAGGGTGGTGCAGGTTGTTGCTGGCACTTGAGGGTGGTGCAGGTTGTTGCTGGCACTTGAGGGTGGTGCACGTTGTTGCTGGCACTTGAGGGTGATGCAGGTTGTTGCTGGCACTTGAGGGTGGTGCAGGTTGTTGCTGGCACTCGAGGGTGGTGCAGGTTGTTGTTGGCACTTGAGGGTGGTGCAGGTTGTTGCTGGCACTTGAGGGTGATGCACCCATTAGCCAATCTTTTGACCATTTCAAAACTATTTAGATCGTCTTGAAGTGATAGTGAGTCCTTTTCCATGTTTATTTCCCCTCCCGATTTTTGTATCATCGGCAAATTTGCAAATACTGCTGCTCAAACCCAAATCTAAATCATTTATATATATCATGATTAACAGAGGTCCCAGGACAGAGCCCTGAGGCACTCCACTTACAACATTTTCCCACTCTGACTTAACCCCATTTATACTTAGTTTTGTTTCCTTTGGTATAGACATGCCCTAAGCCAACTTAATATAGCATCCCTAATACCATGATCCTCTATTTTTTTAATCAGTCTTTCATGTGGCACTGTATCAAAAGCTTTGCTGAAGTCAAGGTACACAACATCACAAACCTTACAATTATGCTAGAATAAAATGTAAATTTGTACATTCCATGTTAAATTTGTTAAACATAAATGGCCATTTGTAAAACCATGTTGTGAATCATTTATTTATTTATGTTTTTCAAGATTAAGACGAATGGTATTTGCAATTATCGATTCAAGTAACTTTCCCACAATAGACGTTAAGCTAATTGGCCGATAGTTTGACGCAAGTAATTTATCTCCTTTCTTGAAAATTGGAACCCACATTAGCGACCTTCCACGACTCTTGCACTCTACCTGACTTTAATGATTCATTAAATATAGTAGACAGTGGCTTGCAAAGCTCCTCTTTGCATTCTTTAAGCACCCTGGCAAACACTTCGTCTGGCCCTGGGGATTTGTTTGGCATGAGTTTCACTATTTATTTAATAACATCCTTCTTGATAACTGCTAAACTAGTCAACCTGTCCTCTTCCCCACCCACATACACTTATTCAGCTAAAGGCATAATGTTAAGTTCCTCTTTAGTAAATACAAAGATAAAATATTTATTTTATCTATTGCAGGAGCTAAAGACCCTCGGGTCTTCTTATAGATTAGCATTGAATCTCAGAAAGGTTACGGGATTTAGTTTTAGGTTCGAGGATAATATCAATAATATCCGAGACGTTAACTGGGGATAGATGCGGAGACTCGGGATAGCTGTCTGTGAGGTAGTCACTGACATTTGCTTGGGATGCTGGGATCTTATTTGCAAGGAATGTGAGAATGGATGAACGGAAACTATTGAATTTAGTAACCATGTCAGCAGCTGATAATATTCCACTATTTTCAGATAGGTATATTGGTTTTTTATTCAGGTTTTGCTTTGACCCTAATACAGTATCTCGGAAATATTATTACATATTTTCTTCACGTTACCTTTTATTTAGTTAAAGTGGTTTTTATAGCAGGCTGTCATGGTTTTTTATTATCTTAGCAGTATTCCTCGCTGCTTTCTTAGTCAATTTTCTGGGAATGACCCCTAGCCTGATTTCCTCTGAAATTCATGTTTTTTTATTAATTGAGGTAAGTGTCCTTTTAGTGAGCCATGGTCCTTCTAGTTGAGACTTGATTTGCAAGTAAAGGACAGAAGGTATTATAAAGGCTAACAGTTTTCTTAAGAAAAAGGACCTGCCCGAAATGCTATGCGTGTTAGTGGCTTTACAAGAATGTAAAAACATCAGTGATATGTACTCTGATAAACCCAATGTACCTTGTTGTAAATAAATAAATAAATAAATAAATGTCTGCACACCTAGGTTAATGTTAGTCATATTTCCGAATTCCGTTTCCCATTTTATGTTGCCAGCAGCAGCTACAAAAGTTACTTATGGAGCCAACTTATGGAGTAACGTAACTTACGTAACTTATGGAGTTACTATGCAGTTCAAAGCTTATTTTCTTTGTTACATCATAAAATTAAAAAAACAAAAATTAAAGGTTTCATAATAAAATAAAATAAAAATTAAAATTAAAGGAGGAAGCATCCTGGGTGCACAACTTGGAGGCGAAACATGACACAAGTCTCATAAATGATCACTGCCCAAGGTGCCAAGGTGAGGTGCATAGCTGCATCTCACTCACCAATAGTTGGGAGTCACTGTCAGGTAACTCCCGAGGCCTGCTGTGGGAACCACAGGGCTGTGAGTGAATGAGTGTGTGATATGTCAGCTGTGGACCGAAGGCCAGGGACCAGCCTAGAGTAGCGTGCATGATAAGGTTCATTGCCTGCCTGTAATGATGATGATAATAATAATAATAATATTGAAAAGAATGTGTGCACAGGGAACCTAAGAAAATTGTTCAATTGTAGGGACAGAGGTCCCTACAATAATATGGGCCTGACTGATAATGCTTTACTTTGTTTTGGCTGGCTCTCTCTAATATATTGTCTTCACATTTAACACTTGCCATACACTCTACGTCTGTATGACAAGTGTTAAACTTGACATACACTGCATCATACAAGTATGTACTGTACGTACCACACAGGGGCCATACATGATGTAAGGTTTCCACGAAGATTTACCTGAGGGGCCACTAACACTAATGGCCTCGACGAGGACAGGGCACTGGTGGCGTGTCAAATGTCCCCCCCCCCCCCATTTGTTCTGATGATTTCTTCAAGCTGGATTTTAAAGTTCAGCAGAGTTTCAGCAATTATGGCTTCTGCGGGTAGGCAGTTCCATGAGTTTATAACCCTGTGGGTGAAAAGACATCTCCAGTTCTCAGTCCTACATTGTGAGTTTGAAACCGTTCCTCCTTGTTTCTATAAGATCTGATTTTTTGAAGAGGTCGTCTCGATCAACATCCTCCAAATTGTTCAGTATTTTAAAAGTTTCGATGAGATCCGCCTTGTCATGCCTGGTTGGTAGTGTTCTTAGCCTTGTGACCCTCGACCGTTCCTGGTATGAGAGTTGACTTAATTTTGAAATGATTGTTGTTGCCCAGTGTTGCACTTTCTCCAGAGCAGCTGTGATTTTATCATCTTCAGTTGTGTGAAGATGAGATCTCCATGCCTGGAAAAAATAATCCAAATGGGGGTACACCAGAGATTTATGTAATTGGATAACTACGGTAAATTATTTTCCTTTAAGTTAAAGGTTGTTTATTATTCTTGAGGTTTGGTTAGCCTTTTTTACCAAAGCTCCCACCTGTTGTGCAACTTTCAGCGAATAATGAATTATGACTCAAAGGTCCCTTTCTTCATCATTCAGCTGCAAGGTAATGCTTTTAATTTAATAATTGTGATGTGGATTGTTCTGCCTCATATGTAAGGTCATGCATTTTCGATATTAAAGAGCATTTGCCTGTTTTCTGACCATTTGTAGAATTCATGTTAAAAAAAATTATATTCAAATTGTTATTCAAAAGAATGTGTACAAAGAACAAGAGTAATGTACAATTATGGAGACAAGTTACACATACTAATGAAGCCACTATTATCCAAAGCATTTCGGGCAAAACTTAAACTGTGAAAGGCATAGACTACTACATTATGGAGTTTGTAGTTCTAGTAACAGTATAGTAGTTTATATACATTAACAATAGAACGGAAATACTAAGGAGTAATTTAAAATAAGCAACTGTAACATAAATTATACTTTATTACTCTGTTATGGTAAGTTTATTGGTGCC